GGCGCAAGACCACCATGATGATCGGCTTCTCAGGCTATCTCGTCTTCGGGCTGATTATAGGCTGCGCCTACGACCAGATCACCAAAATCACTGCCCTTTTTGTCGTCTTCTACGGTCTCATGCAGAGCTCTGGAAACATGGGTCCCGGAGACATGCTTGGCCTTCTCTCTTCAGAGAGCTATGCCACCAGCGTTCGTGGAACCTGCTACGGGATCAGCGCGGCCCTGGGTAAGGTTGGTGCAGCTGTCGGTACCCAAGCCTTCACGCCAATCCAGACAAACCTCGGGAAGAAGTGGACTTTTATCATCGCTGCCATCTGCGGTGTGGTCGGCGTGATTGTCACATATTTCTTTGTGCCTGACATTAAGGGGGGAGACTTGGCAGAGAGCGATGAGAAGTTCCGACAGTATCTGATCGAAAATGGATGGAACGGTGAGATGGGAGAGGGCAACTTGAAACACGAGGCGGATGATGTTGCAGTTCCCACTGACAGCGTGAAAGAGAAGGCTGAGTCCCAGTAACGGATGGAGTGGGCGTCTGATTGTGTAGTAGCCCAGTATTGATTATAGTGAGAATGACATGCTCGTGAGGAGCAGCCGATTAACTCAAAAATTTAGTTATGATGCTAAATCGGTGTATAAGTTAGTGATTTCCCTTACTTGCAGCAAGGTGAATGAAAGATAATGTAATTTAATCTGATGCTTTCTTCCTGCCTCTTGAAGTGCAGCATATCTGAGCTCTTTCAAACTGCAATAAATCTATCTTGATATCAATATCCAATGTGTGGCTTGGTATTTGGATAACATGTGTTTCTCTATCTAGAACATCCCCGCATCAAGAACAGGCAGACTTCCTGCAACCTTCCAGCTCTCAACTACACTGCATGCTGCATTAAAGAGTGGCAGAAGCATCTCTGGAATCGAATAATTGTTGTATTTCAAAAATACATCTTTTAGATACTTGCGATTTGTGAGCTTATACAATACATGGTTCCCCTACATCGGATACTCAAGCTAAAGTCCTCCCATCAAATTACAACCAACCTGGAATAAACATCCACCAAAAAAAACGGCAAGAAAACACATCTCGAATAAGTTGACACCCTTCCCTATACCCAGGTACGAGTCACAAACAGCCGCCGGTAATTTGAACAGAGCCTCAGCGGGGGTTGCAAGCGCGAGGGCGTCTATTGGTGGAATAATTGCTCCTCGGCTTTCTATATAGCCCATGACGTACCACCTCATTGACGACATGCAGCTTCATCGTTGATTTGTATTCTATTAGGTCCAGGAGCAATTAGTGTACTCTCATCTGCAGATACGCGATAGCGATGGCTGACTCCGTCGAAGCCATTTTCACCAACCCGGTGATCCAAGGGTTCAACCCAGACCCGACCGTCTGCGTGGTCCCCGCCACGGAAACGAAACCCGCGCAGTACTTTCTGTCAACATCTACCTTCGAATATTTCCCTGGCGCAGCCATCTATCATTCCGAGGATCTGATTAATTGGGACCTGATTGGCCATGCACTCAATCGCCGGAGCCAGATAGATATGCGCACGGTCGAGCCTGGGGCCGGTTCGTGGGCAAGCACCCTGCGATATCGGGCCAGCGAGAAGAGATGGTATCTCACGAACGGGGTGTTTCAAAGGTATCGCCCGGTGGTGGATGAGAGGATATTCCCGCGGGGGTTCTACGTCCACACCGACAATATCTGGGACGATTCCGCCTGGTCAGAGCCTGTCTACTTTGATAATCCCGGGTTCGACCAGGACTTATTCTGGGATGATGACGGCAAAGTGTATCTTTCGACCACTGTTCGGATGAAGGAGAGAACCCCTGGGCTAAAGCTGAAAGACTTTGCCATCCACGTCTCCGAGATCGATCTTCCGGGTGGCCGAACGCTAACGCCGCCCAAGATGATCCGGTCGACATCTTTGGGTGTCTCGGAAGGCTCCCACATAATCAAGAAGGGAAAATACTACTACTTGTTCACTGCAGAAGGCGGAACAGAAGCAGGGCACCAGGAGTGGGCTTTTCGCAGTACTGAGGGACCGTACGGCCCCTGGGAGGGACAGGGGAAGGCCCTTTGGTACAACGGCCCAGATGAGGAGGTGCAGCGAACTGGCCATTGTGATGTTTTCGAGGACGGAGATGGAGACTGGTGGGCGGTAATGCTGGGGGTGCGACCGGTCAAGAATCAAGACAACAAGTGGCTGGAGCCCCCCATGGGTCGTGAGACTTTCCTGGTGAAGGTGGACTGGAAGGATGATTGGCCAGTTTTCAACGATGGTCAGAATGTCACACTTCAAACATCTGGACGAAAACCAATCGAGCAGTTGTCCAGCGTCGAATTTGGTGGCGGAGTGAAGTGGAAGGCAAATCTCGAGAAGTCGGAGCTTGAGCTTGGATGGTATCATAAAAGTAATAAGGGCATCACCCTCAAGTGAATATTCAAGGGGCTAGTACTAACCGTGCGCATCTAGATACTCCGTTAAAACCCTGTTATACATTAACTGAAGAGCCGGGTGTCCTCAGGATATACGGCAACTGTTACAACCTCACTTCTCCTGAGTCACCCGCCCTGCTACTTCGAAAGCAATCTTCCTACAACGAAAAATTCATCACTTTGATGAACTTCCGTCCCACTAGAGTGGGCTATGAATCTGGAGTTGTGCTCTGGTGGAATCAGTACTCCTTTGCATCGATTGGTGTCACTGCTGTCAAGGACTCAGGCAGTGTTGGCTACAGGCAAACCGTTGTCCTTCGTGAGCCGACAGGAAACAATGGAGAGTTCAAGGTAGGATCTACACTGACCCCTGTACACTCGGGGAGCTTCTTAATACTAAATTTGTGACGAAAAGGTTACCTATCCATTCTTAGATGCTGGGAGGGAATTTGACGCTTCTTTACCAGTAAAGCTATCGATTCAATCAAAGCCAACAAACTACATATTGAGCCTACAGTCAGCGAACACCGAAATAAATGTCGCCGTTGCATCAGAGACGCTGACTATTTTCCCTCCTGTTGGAGGTGCATTCTGTGGAGCCATGTATGGGATATACTCCTTTGGCTCTAGCGAACCAGTTTTGGAGCCTTCAGACTTTCGAGCAATAACAATTGTGGATGAGCGCTGAGAGGAAGTAGTGTACATAGAAGAAGGTGGGATGGTACGCTTCAAGTTACACCGCCTGTTAGCATCGTAGGTAGGTTGAATTGCCACAGAATAAGAATGGGACGAGCGCACACAATGGGCCTCTACAACACGCAGTCCGACGGAAGACTTAAGTGGATGTGAGATATTGTGCTGATTACTTAGAAAGTGATTGCTTTCTGCAAGACCAGCGAGTTCAAAACTTGACTTAGCTCACAATCCTACAACATAGCTAGTTCACACGTACAATTTCAAATTTTAGTTATATCATAATCCCGTAGCTGATATCCATGACTCGGATCTGGACGATGGTACCTGGAGCATTCTCTATCTACCCTCGTTTGGCTTGGTAAGTAAGCGTATCGAAATTATTAACATAAAGAACTTTCGGAATCTAATTTTCCATTAAGCGTAATCTTAAACAGTGGGTGATATATTTCTAATCCCTGTAGTACACAATATTTTGATTAAAACGGTGATAGGTTTGTTTTCTTCACGAGCTGCAGATACGGTCATCTGGATCTGGACATTAGCCGGAAAGCATGGAAATATAGTGTGGAGTGCCCAGCGTAAGAAAATATTCCCTGATTCACCGTTTTTCCACCAATAAACTGATCGTCAGACTCGGCTCGCACATCCCTGTCACCAAGCCATCAAACTAGCGCTGCAATCACACGTACTAACACACACTGCAACTGGGGAAACGTGGTTTACAAGAGCCTCTCTCGGTTCTTCCCCTGATCTCCATGGGGCATAGGTTTAGCCTGAAAGCCAAATCGGATGAGATTAGGTTGTGTTACGCCTCCTGGGGGGGGTTGTGGAGGCTGGGGATTTCTGCAAGTTCGGAGAAGACTATAATTACTGGAGGGTTACGATGCCTTGAGGTTTCATTCTATCCCAACCTAGGGTTCGAGAATCTCCTCCAAAATGCGGTTCTCTAGTCTTCTCGGCCTTTGGACATCCTCCGTCGTTGCATTGGAGCGGACGGTCCCTCCCCGCCCAAACATCACTCCCGGCCCTCTACAGCCTTACAAAGCTTTCCCCGTATCTCCACCACGGACAAAGACGTGTTTTGTGAAGCCCAGCTGCACGAAGGGCAGGGATGACTCGGCCAAGATCCTCGCTGCCTTTGAGGAGTGCAATGACGGCGGTACGGTGGTGTTTGATGAAGAGTACACAATCTGTTCGCCGCTGGACCTCCGTTTCCTGAAGCATGTGGATATCGCCATAACGGGGACCATCAAGTTCTGTGACGATATTGACTACTGGCTTCCGGTGACGTTCAAGTTCCAGTTCCAGGGATCTTCCACCTGGTGGGTCATTGGTGGCGAGGACATCAACATTTACGGCTCCGGCGTCGGGACACTTGATGGCAATGGCCAGGCGTGGTACGATCGGTTTGCTACCAACAAAACACTTCAGCGGCCCTTGCTACTGGTGACGGATGGATTGCACGGCGGAAGCATTACAGGTCTCAATATGAAGAACTCGCCCAATGTAAGCCCGATCATCAAATGCTATAAGATGCCACGACAAGATTAATGATGCTGACCTGTTGTCCCTAGTGGCACAATCTTATTGCCAACAGCTCGGATATTCTGATATCTAACATTGATGTACATGCTGGGTCAACAAGCGCAAATCCGGCCAAGAATCTTGATGGCTGGGATACCTACCGCTCTGATAACATCGTCATCCAAAACTCTTACCTCGACCATGATGATGACTGCGTGTCATTTAAGCCCAACAGCACAAACATTATTGTCCAGGGTGAGCTAGTTTCCCAGAAAAGTATACTATCAAATGTTGAACACTAATGATGTAATGTAGGCCTGGTATGCAACAGCTCACACGGCATCTCGGTCGGCTCTCTGGGCCAGTACCCCGAGTATTTCGACATCGTTGAGAATTTGTACATCTACAATGTCACTCTGAGCAATGCTACCGATGGCGCCAGACTCAAGGTCTGGCCCGGGTCGGAGACTGATTTCCAGCCTGGTCTTGGAGGTGGCGGCGGCTCGGGATACGTACGCAATGTCACGTATGACACTTTCGGCAACATCAACAACGATGGCGCCATCAAGATCGATCAGTGCTATGGAGAGAAGAACGCCACTCGTTGTGAGGAGTTCCCGTCGAAGATGAACATTACCGACGTGTTGTTCAAGAACTTCTACGGAACGACCTCGAAGTCGAATGATCCCATTGTTGGGTCTCTTATTTGCTCTACCGAAACTGTAAGTGGATTCCCCGGCTGAACCGTCCTGGCCGTTGGATGACCTGTGAACACTGATATTGTTTAGTCGTGTGACAACATTCGGGCAGAAAACATCTCCATCTCTCCGCCGAGCGGGAAGCCGGCTCAGTGGCTTTGCAGGCATATGGACGAGAGTCTACTCGACCTGCCCGGCGTGGGTTGCATCGCAGGCTGAGTTCAGGGTAATACCAGTATCTTGTATGCTAATGGTACATAAAATAAGTCTATATTTGGTAATCTACAAAGATCAAGCGCCGGTTTCGAGCTTGCAGTAAGCTTCTAATATTTTTTCGCCCTGCGCAGGTGCCCTGCGCCCTTGGTCTATATATATCGACCAGTGAATCTAGCCGCCCCCGTGATGATAACCATTTGGTCACCACTCTATTCTTGTAATCTGTGCAATGCGGCAAGTGCCGCAGTCAGACAGGACCGGCTCAAAGGTTTATATTGAAGAAAGGTCTAAAACCGAATCGAAAATGTCACTAGGGCCCTGTCCGTGGTAGCCTGCACCCGAGCCGCCGTTTACTTGGGGTGCTGGCCATTGGACTGCAGATTCGTGAGGGGGAGATCGGACGTCTTCTCCTTTGGCTTGCTAGTCTTCGCCACGGAGTAGAGAACGCCGCTGACGAAGCCCATGAGGATAGCGACGACACCACCAAACGTCACAGGCTCCTTGAAGAAGACGAGGCCAGCGATGGCCATGGGGAGCTTGTTGAGGGCGCCGGACATGGCGTAGGTGGTGGAGGATGTTGCCCGGATGCACCAGGCTGTGCAGTAGGAGATGAGGAGGGCGCCAAGACCGGAGTAGATCATGCCAATGATCAAACCCTGGCGAGCTGCGGGGGGGAAGTTGCGCTCCAGGTTGGCGGAGGACCAGTCCTCCAGGAAAAGGGAGCCGCCCAAGAGGAGAGGAATGGTGAGAACGTTGTTGTAGTAAATGACTAGACGGACGGAATAACGTTAGAGCTGATGGATGAGGATAACAGCAAAGATACAGTGAACATACCATCCCAGTTCTTGAGGTTGATCTTCTTCATGCCTCCGCGCATGCCAAGAGCGTAAGTGGAGGCAGCCAAGACATTGATCAGCATCCAGAAGTATCCAGCATTCAAGGTAGACAGACGGGAGCCGGCGGCAGAGTTCTTGGCGTCACTGAAGTCGGACCAAGCAGCGAGGACGGAGCTGAGGACCATGAGAATGAAGGAAACCAGGCTGAGGGGGCTGACGCTGCCGTCGAACCAAATGACCTCTCCGTAGGCAATGACAACAACCGCGAGGTTCTTGAAGATGGTGTAGACGGGCACAGAGAGAAATTGAAGAGCCTTGTTTCCCGTAAAGATCATGGTGACTAGCATTATAGCGATAGGAAACCCTGGGCAGGGAGGATCAGTCAGATGCCAGAGGAAGATGCTAGGACAGGTTGCAGCTTACATTTCTTGGCCTTGGAGGTGTTGTACAGGTCAACACCGCTGATGATGCCCAGCTGCTGCATTAACACGACAGCGACTGTGACGATGATGTGCTACAGGTCAAAGCTATCAGTGGGATGGGCTGGGCTGGAGGAAGGAATCTTGACTACTCACCTGGATGGCTAGGTACAGCAGGTGGAGATTCCAGGAGTTTCCAGACACGACAAACTTGTTGACTAGCGTCATGCTGGTCGAGGCGAAGCAGTAGGCGAGGACGGCAACCGTGCCGTTGTCCTCGATGGAGGCCCAGGAGGCCTTCAGGGAGGCGCCGGCCTGGTGCTGCTGCTTCGGGGAGAATCTGCCCGCATCCCCATTCCCGTTCAAGGGGGACCCGCCGACGGGCGATCGCGGGGGATAGTCGTCATTCTTCTTGTCGCTCATGGCTGGATGCGTGGGAGGGGGGCTGAGCACAATTGACGAGCACAGAGTGAAGGGAGTGTGTGTGTTGCTCGCCTCTGTTTTTTTTTATCGCTCGAAATTAAGACAAATTACCCCTGATTGATGACTGTCGCTGTTTTACAATACGGAGAGAGACACAATTGGTCTGATACGAGCACGCTATTGCGGTGCACAGACCACTCATCGCTTTGTGCTGAATCCACTCCAGGTTTGATTTTCATTTCAATTCTTAATTTAGCCCTCCCTGCCTGTACCATCGAGATAGGACAGAGTGTAAGAGGTATTGCCGCGTCATTCCCAAGGGACATCACATCGATATCTTGGATGATAAAGAAAAGAGAGCTGCGGGGGCCAGTGCGACGCAACAAGCTCGACTGTCGATAGTCGCTAAATTTGGGCGCTGGCTTCTGAAATCTCAGGCAAGAAACCCCACATTTCGCTCTGGGGAGCGATCGGAGTCCGCCGTAGGTTATCGATAAGAACAGTAAAATGGATTCGCAATAGCAAGCTTCAATGTTAGCAAGAAGTACCTACTCAAATAATAAACGATTTCATGCTGATTGGTTTTGCTAATCTGTTAATTATTTAAGGTAGGCTCGCTATTGCTGCTTCTCTGCTGAAATTCCATGTCGATAGTCCTTCTGCGCCACGGTGTATTTCATCACATCTCTCGATTGTCTCTCCTAGAACGCGCCCGTAATGAGACCACCAAAGAAGTGGCGGACTTCTTGAACCCACGCATCAGGCTCACTGACCGCAGGGAAATGGCCACCAGCATCATGCCTCGACAGATACACGACATTGACCCAACGCTCCGCCCAGTCGCGTGGCTTACTCCAAGGTCAGTACATTGACTGTGTCTCGTCGACGATGGGGGTCATGCTTACCAAAAAGTTGAAGTTCTCGATGCCAGTTGTAGAAGGGCCTCCCCACTGCGTGAGTGCAGTTGGGACCTGCGTTACGGGAAAGGCCTGGGCCTTGGGCTGAGACTGCAGTCAGTTTATGCTTCACTGAGATAAACAATTGCATGCATTTCTACTCACGTCAAAGCTCTCCTTGTATGATCTCAGGCCACCCCAGACACCCTGGATCCACAGCATCAGAGCATCCGTGATGATTTCCTGCGAGGTGTACGCGTATCCGCTGCTAATGGGATGCATCAGCTGCAAAATCCACCCGGCAAAGCCAACCGGCGTGTCCGACATGGCTTGGCCAATGGCCAGAGGCGCCTGGGAGTGGACGGTCGCGTAGCTGGAGCGGGTGCCGAACCATGTCGTGATGGAGCTGATGAAGGCCGACTCTTCTGCCGTCGTCTGGTTCTGCGCGTACCGCTCCAGGTCTGTCGTGTTGGGCTGCATCAAGAAGAAGTCGGTGAAGTGGCCGACCAGGCTCTCTGATACATCATGGGCCATCCACATGCCAACCATCCAGCCTAGATCCGTGCTCGCGACGCCATATTTTTCATAGCCCAGTGTCTTCATCAACTTGTCGAAAACTATTCCCATCCGACTGGGACTGAAGCCTCCGTATTCTGGGGCGGGACTGAACCCAAACCCAGGCAGATCCGGCGCAACAATGTGGAAGGTGACATTGGAAGACTCATTACCTGACACCAGAGGCTTGATCACTTTGGACCACTCGAGATGCGAAGAAGGCCAGCCGTGTAGGAGGAGCAACGGGATAGCATCTAGATCATCGGAGCGCTCATGGACGAAGTGAAGTGGGACCGGATGATCCCAATCTGAAGGCCCATCGATAGTAACGGCGTAGTGAGAGAAGTTGGAGTTGATCTCATCCTGTACTTCGAACCAGTCATAACTGTTGGCCCAGTCTTTGGCCAAGGTAACCATAGTCTCACGCGGTGGGCCCTCGATCCACTCGGCATTGCTGTCGTCTTTGAGGTCCGGCGAGGAACGATAGAGTTTCGCCTTGAGCTGAGTCTCCTCAATGAACTGCTTGTCGACTGAGATGGTGTATGGGACTGAGGTTGATGCGTTGTAAGGGAAGTCAAAATTCAATGAGCTTGCTTCCCCCAGCAGAGGCATCAAAGCCCCCGTGAAAAGAGCGTGCTGGAATCTCATGTTGTCAATCAGTTTTGAAAGAGATTGAAAGAGACAGTGATGATGCGCTTGTAGTTCCACAACTCAGGCGAATCAATGGTTGGTTTATATACACCGCTTCCATGTTGGATGAATTCTCACTGTCTCCGTATCCCATTTGTCATGCGGTAGATTCTAGAGTTTAGGCATTGATCCACCTCGCAAGTAGTTTACGTCTTGTTGTTTCGGAATGGACTGATGCACGACATGCGTATTGGAAAGAGACGATCTTTGTCGTATTCTCACATGTTGATCCACACAAGCTGACAGCTCTCGCCTAATTCAGACCAGCCGCTTACAAACGCGCTGTACGGATGTCGGGGGAGAAGCCCTCGGATTTACGACCAATCCAATAAGAGTGCTTTGCAGGTATTCATTTCGCAGATTCTTGCCATACGGAATTTGTAATCGATCCGACTGCCTCTGCCTGCCGGACTCCGGAGAACTGGCGTCTGTGGGTCATCCCGGCGGTGTTCACAGTATTTCAGATGTCCACCGCTTGACGCTTGAGAATTGATCAATGCAGGAATCAAACCTACCTACCCAAAGTTCCCAGATAATCGACCGGAGGGAGGGTGTGGGCCCATAAAGAGCAGAGCATAGGTCCATAAAGAACCATAAATGGAGTCGAGTTTCCTCCATTCTTTAAAATACCTGGGTAGATTATCGTTGCCCCCGTGCATTCGTCGCAGAGAGAAGATTCCGAGTTAATGTCTTTTTTCTTTCTTTTTTTCTTCCCCCCCTCCCTTTCTCTCTCTTTGGTTTTTGTCCTTGGATTATTTTTCTTCTCTTTATCCTTATTATGACTTGGAGAGCCGGGTGTTCTCCGAAGGCGCGAACGTAAGAAGATTGCCCGAAGTTTGGGATTGCCGTGGCTTCAAAGCAGATCTCATCCCCGATGCCCATATGTTTATTCAGATATGAAATAAAGCATGGGCGTCCCTTGCCAGGAGGACTATGTCGAGTATTTCTTGTTCACAACGGTTCCCGGTATAAACACCATGATTCGATTCCATGATCGGCCTGAAAAAAGGACGTGGCCCAGAGACTCTTTCTTTCGAGGGAAGGCGTATGTACTTCGAAGAATCAACAAATGTTCTCACTGCTCATGAGAGCTTGAGCAGGCCTTCTCCCATGAGCCAAGTGGGGGGTTCCCGACATGATGAGAACCTAGCTAACAACGTTTCGAGATGGTCACTGTTGGGTCAAAAATCAAACAACACCATATCCAAATAATCTATGAGAGGTAGACATGAGAAGTGAACACATATGGACAATGTGCTAGCTCGTATTACATGGTAGAATGACAATTTGACATTCTGTATGGGCAATCGAATGATGCATACTCCGACTCTAATGCCTAGATGACAATATGCGAAATTGTAAGACAGCTCATTGTCTATCTTGTCTAGGATCCGGGGAAGAATCACCTCTGGATAATCCTAGCTGATAGCCGCGACGAAGGATCTGGGTTTTCTTTAAGTAGGTGCCTAAGCCTAAACATGCATATGCATCAAATGGGGTAAATATGCATTTATAGGGTTTCACACTCGTCGTATGAAATAAACGCAAAGAAATCATCCGTGAAACCTAAAGAACCTTTGTTTACTTTTGTTTGACCCAAGTGTCAACCAAACACCCATCTTCCATTCTCTAGGCACCTTAAAAAAACAATAACAATCACAAATATGGACACCAATCGTCGCGTGGTGCTTGGCACGCCCGAACTCCTGGAGTGCATCCTTCTCCAGATGGACATGAGGACTCTCCTGGCGGCCCAGCGTGTCTGCCGCGCGTGGAATGATATCGTCACCACCGTACCCTCGCTCAGACAGAAGCTGTTCTTCCAGCCGGCACCACACTCCAACGCCAGAGAAAAGAACCCCCTGCTTGCCGAGTTATTCCCTCAGTGGTTCGCGCATGGCGAGTGGGCAAATAGGCGCGAGACTTTCGCGGAGGAGGACCTGAAAACCCTGGCCTTTGTCCGCAAGGAGTTGAATTCCGCCTTCCAGTACGAAAAGGCGAGCTGGAAGAAAATGTTGCTAACCCAACCGCCAATCCGATCATTCGTCTGCTTCCAGATCTTGTACGTCATGGAGGGGGAGAGTTGTGATTTATCAACTATTTCGGAACAAGGTGAAACACGACATGCACGTACTGGTGGGCAACTACCCGTTCCTGAGGCGGAGAGCACTGGAAATCCCCTAACCATGGAGACATTTTATCGGCAAGTGACAAAAATATTCGGGACAAGAATCGGCGATCCGTTCGAATGGCTGTTTATTTGGGACGACGAGACAGGCCAGGACCCCATACCCGATCACCTCGGTGGTTATACTATCGAAGAAGAGGTCAAGGAAACACTGGAAGAACTGCTGCGGAGGGACGGCTTGGTGATGTTTGAGAAGGCGCACATAGCCTGTACCGGGCCGAGTTGTGACTTTTTCCCCAGAGAGTACCACATCGATGACGGGCTGGTAGATTTTTTGCGGGAGTGGGATGAGATGTGTGAAGATGAGTTGCGTGAGGATCAGTTGCGCAGGTCTACTTCATGAAGCATGTTTTGCCTATCACGCGCATAAAAATCACGATATCGCTCTCAACCCACCCAAGTCTTGCGAAACTCGAATAAGCATGTCAAAACAGACTATCTCTTCATAATTTCTAGAGAAACGAAGATACGCATAGTGCTTGATACAAGGAATCCCTAGAATTAACCCGACTCGGAAAATAGTCCCCTAGCAAGTGGTTTTCTATTGACAAATTGGCGGTACCGTTGTGAGCGGATTCGTGACCTTCGCCCCATTTCCTGGAAGTGCATGGAGAGCGTCTTTTCTATCTTGTTTTGTGGTAGCATCACCGATTCTAGTGTAGAAATTAAACTTGAGCTTCTCAATGAGACCTGCCCTGCAATGTAGGCTCGGAAGCCTGGATATGGGTGCATTGAAGGGCCCGAAGATGGAATTGGCTGTCAAATGGGTCTCTCTGAGGTCTTGATATCCAACGCTGACTTCCAAATCTTGCTTACCCGTCTTGCCGTCTGACCGTTCTATATGAGGCACTGCATGTAGGTATCAGCCCAGGCAGCTCTGCGTGTTTCATCACCTCACATTATTAATATAGAGTTTCAACGAAAAACGGATAGAACATCTCTTTAATATTATTTCCAACCTCTCTAAACAAATGTATCACCTAAGCATGATATTCCCTCCCAACTTTAAGCTCTAAATGGACGAGAAGCCTATATCAACCGCCCGCCATGAGCTTCAATTACATTACCAACGAAAATTCGCCGCTGATCTTGCGAAGAGTCCCAAATATGAACACCGACAGCGCCAAACCAATGTATACAACACTTGCCCACATGGGATGGGAAGATGATGTCTGGTGTAGTCTCGTGAGAGTCTATTAAGACTAACATCCGTTCAAGTCTGCCTGATATGTAGAAACCTCTACTTTTCTGTCTGCATCGCCAGCAGTGACCGTGAACCGGTGCCTTGTGCTGGATGAACCGTCCTGGCCAGCTGCCTCCGGCGTGTACGAGACGCGCTGGATCTTTTGCTGGTTCGCCGGGGTGTCGGGTGCGTCGCCAAGATGCGGGTACTTGCTCACAAGCTCGTTTTTGACCGTTTCGAACCGTTCGTCGTTGGCCGCCACGATGTGGGCGTGCTCAGGTCTGATTTGCATTCCGTCAAGGCTCTCAGGCAAGACTTTCGCATGGTCCTTCTCCTTGCCAACAAAGATGTGTTGGACTGAGGGCGTATTCTCTGCGTCCCAAAGAACAGTACCCGTGCACCCGCTCATATCATCCAAGTGCACCTTATCGCCATCCCAAAGACTCGCCCCATTCACATATTGATCCTCTTTCACCTTGTACTCGCCATCTGTACCTTTATCAACAGATTCGGGATCTTCGCCCATAACACGCGGTTTGAGCGAGCAGAACAACGCGCCCCCGGTGCTACCCTTCGTGTCACCTACACTCTTGGCATTCGGGACAGCTTTGGCGGTATTGATACTCTTGGCGCTCTGGCCAGTCTTCAACTTGCTGTCGGCTTTACGATCCAACTCCTTTCCAGCTTTATTCTTTGCGCTGCCCATCATGCCGCTTTTGCTAGCGCTGCCGGACTTGTCGCCAGGAGTTTTACCCGTGTCGCCATTAATAGCCTTTTTACCGCCCTTAGAGGGAGTCTTGCTAATGCTACCCTTGCTAGGGCTCTTGTTCTTGCTCTGAGTACCCTTCTTCAGACCACTGCCGAGTCTTTTAGAGGAGGAACCCGTCTTGTGGGATTTCTTAGAACCAGTTTCAGTATGAGCCTTCTTGGTGCTTGCTTTCGGGCCTCCACCAGTCTTTTTGTTGCTATTTTTCAGCTTCGGGGAACCCTTTCTAGAACCAGTATTCTTCTTCTGGGTAAGAGACTTCTTGGGAGCACTGCCTTTCTTAGTGGCAGTACCCTTCCTGGTAGCAGCTTTTTTGGCAACAGCATTGTTCTTAGAAGCAGCCTTCTTGGGAGAAGCCTTCTTGATAGCGGCGCCCTTTCTGATAGCAGCCTTCTTAGAAGCAGCCTTCTTAGGGGCACCCTTCTTAGAAACACCTTTCTTAGGAGCACTGCCTTTCTTTATAGAAGTCTTCTTGGGGGCGGTCTTCTTTGAAGTAGCTTTCTTGGTAGAAGTGCCCTTCCTCATAGTAGCCTTCTTAGAAGCAGACTTCTTAGAAGCGCCTGTCTTAGGAGCACTGCCTTTCTTTATAGCAGTCTTCTTGGGAGTGGTCTTCTTGGGAGCGGTCTTCTTCGAAGTAGCTTTCTTGGTAGTAGCTCCCTTCCTGTTGGCAGCGCCCTTTTTGGTGGCAGACTTCTTGGGGGCTGCCTTCTTAGTGGCGGCCTTTTTTGAAGAAGTCTTTTTAGCAGTGTTCCCTTTCTTTGCAGCAACATTTTTCCTGTTAGCTGCTTTCTTGGGGGTAGACTTCTTGTTGGCAGCCTTTTTGGGAGTAGCTTTCTTGGCGGTATTTCCTTTCTTTGCAACAGTACTCTTCTTGGGAGCAGCTTTCTTGGGAGTAGCCTTCTTCGCAGCAAGGCCCTTCGTTGTGGCAGCACCCTTCTTGTTGGAAGCGGTCTTCTTTGTACCAGCGCCCTTCTTGCTGGCAGCCTTGTTTAGAGAAGTCTTCTTAGGAGTATTTCCCTTCTTGGTGGCAGAAATCTTGAGGGTTGTCTTCTTGGGAATGGCGCTCTTCTTATTGCTGGTACTCTTCTTAGAAGTAGCCTTCTTGGAGGCAGAGCCCTTATTGATGCCAGGTCCATTTTTTAGAGCAGCAGCTTTCTTGGGCGCAGCGCTCTTCTTGGTACTTGTTACCTTCTTTGGGGTAGCCTTCTTTGCAGCAGTTCCCTTCTTTAGAGTGGTGGATTGCTTAGTACCCGGGCCTTTCTTGAGGGCACCAGCGTTCTTGGAGGGAAGTGTTTTCTTGAGGGTAGCAGCTTTCTTCGGGGAAGCAGCCTTCTTCGGGGAAGCAGCCTTCTTCGGGGAAGCAGCCTTTTTCAGGGTAGCAGCAGCCTTCTTCGCGGGAGCAGCGGCCTTCTTCGGGGTAGCAGTAGCCTTCTTCGCGGGAGCAGCAGCTTTCTTCGCGGGAGCAGCGGCCTTCTTCGGGGTAGCAGCAGCCTTCTTCGCGGGAGCAGCAGCTTTCTTCGGGGGAGCAGCAGCTTTCTTGCCCCTCTTTCTTATATCAGGCTTCTTTAAGGACGGGAGAGTCTTGGGAAACCGATCATCTCCTCCACCGGGGTCAGAAGTAGATTCGAAGTAGCGGGCTTCCAGCCCGTACTTGAAATTGTCGGTGCTGTCGCGAATACTCAGGTTGTTATCCGTAGTGGACCCGGCTGTGGTCGTTTGAAGAAGAGGTATAAGCAAGAGATAGCTGAAGGCGACCATTTTGTGATGAGGGTGGTTCGTCTCGAGAACAAAAACGACGAGAGGAAATAGAAAGGGGGTATATAGATAGAAACTAGAAACGGGACACGCTGGGTTGGTTGGACGGTCAGGTCGAAAAGAATTGCAGAAAGAAGGATATTTAAAAAGAACACTTTAGAAACCTGAAAGACGCAAGACTTTGGAGAGTGCCAGTGTCCCCTCCTCCCAACGGATCAGCCGCATACTATCTCGGCACAACCGAGAAGAGCTGACCCTTCCCCTGGCGGCTCTAAGGAAGACTGCGTTGACATTATCCAATTGAATGCAAGATCCTTCAGACGGATGGCTGTCATTAAATTGAATTGCCACCGTAAGATGAATGAGTAGCATGTCCAGTTTCCGCATATTCAGCTCCTATTTTACCTTAGACAGACACTCGTAATCGCTGACATACAAAAAATGAATGTTTTCCGTCCGTCGCTCGTAATAGGGAGAAGCGATCAGTATCCCAGCTTCTTAGTTATGGTCAGCCGTTGCAAGAGACAATACGGTTAGCTTGATCTATTGGCTGCGACTAGAGATCAATAACGTGGTCAGCTTAACGAATGTGGTGCTATCTCGACGCGAGAAGTGATGGGGGCCACTAAAAATACCTATCTAATGTAACGTCAAGAGTGATGCCCCTGGTAGGGCTGCTGACGCCGGCAATGCTGGTCCCGCTTGATCAGTCACGGGAGCCAAGTTGACAGGCCACGGCGCAGGATTTATGTAATTCTTGGACCTGATCGCCAAGTTCTAGATCCTCTGCATGGGTTTTTGGACCTCATCAGGAAACGGACAGCGATGTCGTTGGTTGAGGCAGCATACTAAGAGTTCAAGCGGCCGGGTGGGAAAGATAATGAACAGAAACTATACATGACGCCGCAGCCTTCATCATCAACAATTTACAAACACAACCATCTTTGAACCAAGACATTTTGTTTTTAATTTTTTTTTCTTGTCAGCCTTTTTTACCCTAAGCTACAGCTTGGTCTCAACACCCTTTTCTTTCCCTTTATCTTGCTTCCCTCTTCTTTATTTCTTTCAGAACGGTTACACTCAAGAGATTGAGCGTGACTGCTGTCTTCTGACTTACCCTTGCCGGCCAAGGACTCGCACAGTCCCTTGGTAATACTAAAGACGTAGCCGTTCGGTCTGAGGACGAATATGTTAAGCTTCTCCCCTGAGATGGCGGATTTGGATTAGAGGGGAGAGAGGGAGGGGAAGATCCAATGGCTCGGACCACCGGAGACGAACCTCTGGGGTCCAGGCTAGGGATCCGGAGTCTGAAGAAGTTGAATGGAGGATCCAAGCCTCGACCTACCAGTAAGGTAGCCGTCATGGCCCTACCGCTCGCCCCTGAGCCTACTATGAAGAGGAAGATCATAGTCTCTATGGACCAGATAACACAGAGAGAGGTGCAGGTGCAAATTGGATGATCCGCTTAATAGAGAAGACTCAATTTCTTCATATCTAAAATAAACTATATATAAGCTCTTTATTTATTGGTGGTAGCAAAGGGTGTCAGGTGAAGTATCACGTCTCCTAACCCACTGCTTTATCATTATTAGTATGCCAATTTGACTATCTAGATATTTTGGTGCCATCATTCAAATGTACCTTTTGAAACTAGGTGTAGCTTCATTAACCTTAGATATAGCTTAGGGTGATGGCTTCTATGTGTGTGATCCAGCTGTCCAATTTGCCTGCCTACTACCTAATGAGGTGCGTCGTAAGCCAACACGGAGCGGATCCAGCTGGGAGGTAAGCCTTAACCGGTCTTATTTTTCAATATGATTAGGCTCACCCGGGTTCAGACATGGTATTACGGTGGGCTGCACAAATCCTCATTTCAGGAGGGTGGTCAGAGCGAGCACGCGACGCAATAGATGATGGATGACCCATGCGCTGATCAACAGTCGCGCCCTAAAACCCTTCTGCCCAACAAGATCCGCCAGTGTCGACTTCAATTCCTCCTATCTTCATCCACGTGCTGAACAGCGAATACAGCTAGGATGGCTCTACACCGTCTGCCACATGAAACCTTGCAGCAAATCGCATGCCATCTTGCTGATTCGCACCGACCTAGTCTTTATGCATTTGGGTTGGCAAGTAAGGCCTGTTACAATGTTGCCTCTGTACATCTTTTCCGCCAGATTCGCCTCGCCATCCACGGTCCCGAGGAGTTGCAGCGCGATGTCAATGCTCTGACTGAGACTCTCTCCCGTGCAGCCTCCTTTCGCAGCGTCCATACTCTCAAGCTTCAGGGATTCCTGGAAATCGAGCGACCAAGGAACAGCAGCGAAGAAAACCGCAATGACATCGACCACCTGGGCTGGTGGAAAAGTACTCTCGTCAATGAACCCCGCATCAACACCCTGTTGCCGAATACAGAGCCCGTTCACCGTGGGGATTTCGTTAGCAATGATGAACCTGTGATTGAACCATCATCCGAAGAAGACAAAGCATGGGCCCCGGTGGTGAATTTGATAAACCAGCTGTCGGCCCTTGCTACGCTGGTGTACGACTGCCCCAATCAATTTCCGCCGAGCCTGCTGGATACTCTTCACAGACATCCTCGATGCAAGCTCCACCATCTCAAATTCCGACTACGGACCGTGTCGTCGGACACAGTCCACCCCTACGAAATGGCCTTGGCCACATCTCCACGCCTCTATAGCGCCAGGCTGTACTGTACCTGGCGAGACTCGGAAGGCAATGATGACTTCAACCACGAGGCAATGAGGGATCTCACGGCCGGTCTTGCACCGAACCTCAAGGAGGTTACGGTGGTCAAACTCTGGCCGATGCGGTCAAACAAACACACCTGGCGTCGAGGGAGATGGAATGGCCTTCCGGGCTATATTACTGATGGCAAAATGATCGGTTCTTTGACCTCTTTGTCACTCGTAGGGACTGTCTCTTTGCTCTCTCCTGCTCTTCTGAAGACTTGGGCTGCGGTCACGGACTTCAACTGTTTGCGCCATCTTGCACTTGGTGGCGAAGGGTCTGGTTATATGGCTGATCATGTGAATGGAATAAACGGTGAGGTGATGGAGTGGATCGCTAGTAATTGTTCTTTTGCTCAGTTAAAGGTCGTTCGCCTTGTTCTGGAACGCGATGCGAATCCTTCTAATGAAACTGACTATCGCGATAGTGCTGTCAGCCTTTTTACAGCACTACCGCCTCTTACTGAGCTTTCGGTGACTGGCCCGCTCGACCCTACGATCTTGGATGCTATTCTATATCGACACGGACAGACGTTGGAAAAGTTGAACCTCCACTCTTTGGAGGACGAGGCTGATATACAACCTGACGAAGTCAATCGACATGAAGTACCGATGGTGTTCACTGAAGAACACATGCGACAAATTCAAGCCCAGTGCCCGATATTGGAAGAGCTGGCTGTCCCAGTGAAACGCACGCAGTCTGACGCGGCCGAGGTTGAGATATACAAAACTTTTGCCAAGATGGAGTCACTAAAATCACTGTTCCTTATCCTCGACTGCTCTGACTGGCGAGTCACTCGGGACAGCAACTATGGCCCTGACCCTTCATTTGATGAATACGACCGCGAGACGTGGTCATATGACGATATCAAGAAAGGCCATTTACGAGTAGCCTTGATCAATAGCGCAGTGGATGAGAAGCTTGCACGATCAATCTGGGACATCGTCAACCAGCAGAAATCAGGCCGGCAGTTGGAATCTCTCAAACTGTGGACCACTGGAGGTGGCTCGTTTGGTAACAATCGGCGAGAAGCCACTGGCTTGTTGGCAAGTTTAAGTTGTTCGTGGTTAGTTACGCGACTTGCTCGCGACGACTCAGAAACCATCAATATCGAAGAACTAGGCAGACTTGCAAGGGAGGCTCGTGAGCAAAAGAATATAGAAGAAGAGGTCAGATGGAAGAAAGTCAAGAAGACATCTGCGAATGCAGAAGTGAAAAAGAAGACGACCTCGGAAGAATGGCAGGCGAACAGGGAAGAGGGTGAGCTACCCTCAGAGCTGACGGAATCAGAATTGAACGCTGACTTGGACACGGAGACCCTGAGGATTTTCCGCCGCATCTGGCCTCGTCAAGAGGAGAGCAAAGGATGGCGCAAAGATTGGTCAAGCTTTGCTCTGCAGACTTAGAGATTTCATAGCTATCACGTTTGTATATGATGGTCCTTTCTTTTCATAGAGACGAATAGAAAGGTCAGCAAACGCCAGGCAGGAAACAGTGACTGCTCGCGAATATTGCCTTCTCCGATTGAGGAGCTGAAACGTCTTGCTGTATTAGGCCGATGATTCATCACTTACTTTCAGCATGTAAGAGTCTTAATTATTTACGTAGCATTCACGACAGAGGCTACCCGCTGCATTAACTCGAGGCATTGGGGATGCTATCTTGCCACACGCCCAAACTCCCCAAGACCTTCGCAACAACATCTATGGCGCATGGTTACAAAGGCAATCTTGGGTTTCTGTAGAGGTTATACATGGGAACGAGGTTGAAGGACATAACTGCCCTTAAGAGGCTCACTATCGGCATGCAAGCCCCCACCGGAATGCTTTCTGGCCATCCACAGCGTGCGCAAGGGATGGATGTACCTCTGAAAGTTTCGGCCGGGCCGTGGCTTGAGGATTGTCTTCCTAGACAGCTTGAGTAGCTTGTTGTCACCGGTTGCGGAAGACAGATTCTCGACCAAGTCAGTGAGCTCCTTGAGTCCATCGAGAGAGGTCGTTTTAGCGAGCTTGACTGCGTCCAGTTACTGTTCAATGATGAGCATATCACTCCAGAAGAGATCAAATTATGACCTAGTGTGCGGAGCTGAGACTGGTGATTGGTTTCCAGGATCCATGGCGTTTACTTGACCAAGCCACCGGCTTTCCACAGAAGCACCGAATGATCAAGACTCTATGTTCCCGGATTCATGCGGAGGATTTGCGAGAAGATTAGTTGAACTGGCTAGGTGGGGCTGCGGTCAGGCTGTGGGAACCACCAGAAGGGTTTGATAGCCATTTTATGAACAAGATCGATGAGAAGTATGAGCTCTACTATGTAAGAAACCGTCAAGTATAAGAACCTGGAATAGAGTGTGTAATATATGCTATTGTTACTACATTTCTTCGCCTGACAGCCGAAAGAGATAAGCATGTATTGATTCATATCATGGATACAAGTTCCCACCTCTTCCGTGGTAGACTCTTCCACATTTCAAGACTAAGTACGGTGCTCGTATTTGAAGCTCGCATCCACATCCCGTCTCTTTCGATAATAGGCCAACAATAGAGTTTGAATTTATCGCGGGTTCCAAAGCGACCCGGACGAACTTTTGCAAAAACGGCCGCGAGTTTTACTTGCTCAAGTGTTCCTGTATAGCGCTGACTTTTCTGTTGGTGCTCCTCGAGAATATGGTAGACCTCGCTCCCTATCACAACGGAGAATGGGTATGTCTCGTCAATTTCGCTGAAATCGCTTGTGGTGCCAAACTCTGACGTGTCACCGGCAGCAATTGTAGGGTCATATCTTACTCTTGCTGTCTGTGTATAAAATAACAGCGCGCTATGTTTCATAGCTGGGGTTGAAAGCAGGGTAGGCGTAAAGTCTGCTTCTGTGATGTCTTTTTCCCAGTTGCTGTCTCCATTACCAGTCTCACTACTAGGTAATAGCTCAGCCAGGGGTTTCGGTTTCCTGGTCTGATATTGTCCATCTTGAATCGCGATCAATTTAGCGACTGAGTTGAATGTGTAGAATGATGGACAGTGAGCGGTCTTATCATCAACAAGCGAATATGAAATCCCGTGGCCCCCTGTCCATCCCATCCAAGACCAAGATGGAAATGAGGCTCGCGTGACTGTACCGTCAATGCTTTTAATTGGATGCGTTCCATTCCGTAACCTACTTCCCGTGCTAAACTGCCACTCCCATATGAGAAATGAGCCAAAGCATCCATGAGGCAGACCCCAAGAGAATTTGTGGCCGCCCCATTTCTTATCTAGGTGATTCTGGATCCCAAGGTAGGCGCGCTGAATGTCTGATTCATAGGTCAAGTTGCGTTTCGAGAAGGTGATGGCGAGGGACTGATATTCCTTTGGGTCGAACTTGTTGTACAAGTCTCTTTTCGGCTCTGCATCGCCATCTTCCAATGAAAAATGCTCCACTGTGTCTTCGCTAAGTAGGCCCCTACGGCAACTCCAATAAACCTGTTCGGCAGTGAAGAATAACAGTCGTCTCGAGACCAGACCCTCCTGAAACGTCCAGGCGCGTTGTGCCCACGGTGTGTCCGATACCCACATAGGTTCCGCATCAAAGGGTAGCAATCCTAGTTGATTTGAGTCTACTGAATCAATGAACGGGACACCTCGTGCTTGTAATGTATGTTGCTCCAAGTGTCTTGTCTCTGGGCGAACCCCAGGTATACCAGCGTCAGCATTCGCACCGGAAGCAGCAACAATAGTGATAACGCTCTGCCGGTAAATAGAGTCCATGCTGTCAACAATCTCAATCATGTCAGATTTATCATCCTGGATGATACATAAGCTGTCCACCCAGATAAACTGTATTTGAAGACCATTACATATTTGTAGAGCATCCCGGATTGTCAGTGGTGGCGGCGTTTTATCGAGACTGCCTGGTGTCATGAGATGCTTCAGGTTGTCTCTAGAAAGCCTCAAGAACGGTTCTGTCCCCCACACGTAGCTCAGAGCCGCAAATTTGGGATAATGATCCCTGCTAGAAACATCGATGATGCACATTTTGTTGACATCCACAAGACGGAGACGTGGAACCCGAGCTGCCCTGTACTGGCTTTTGCAAAGTGCATGGCCGCCATCGCAGATATTCATCCAACGCCCCAAGGTGGAAAAATCAATCTGAAGCGGTCGCTGGCGTCCAAGCGCAACCTCTATGCGTCCTGCAGTCGAGCGGGGCTGATCCTCCCACGAGAGGTCCCAAAGGGACACAGATCCCTCCGTCCCCCAACTACCAGGGGCAATATAAGAAAATGTATTGGAGCCATACTTGGTTTCGGACTTGTGAGTAACAGGAACCCGTCCTCCGGGGCCAGCTCGTTGAAGCAAGATGTCGACAGGATACAAGCCAGATAATACCGTAAGATCAATGACTGTCCGGTAACTCGTACCTTCATTATTAAAGGACCAATTACGGGCCTCTTTGGCGAAATGGACGCCAATTTGCACCAATGTGTCACGACGAATCTCCTCGTCTGTTAGACGCAGCGTGTGTCGCTCATTAACTCTCTTTGCTACATCGCAGCGCAGGCGGTATTCAATCAAACGAAGTAAATCTGAGCAGAATTCGCATCTTTGACTTTCGAGTCGCAGATCCTCGAGCATAATTGACTTATGAGAGTTGTGATCAAGGTCCTTGCGACAATCTGTGCCTACGAGCTCGAACTCGATGGAGTCACACCAATGCATGGTGTAGGTATAGGCAAATATAGGAAGGAAGAAAAGATGAGTATACAAAAACGCGAAAATGCCGCAATCACAGCAAGTCCCTACTCGCCTATCCAATGAAGTTGCCTCTCGTTGCAATATGCCTTGTGGGCGAACCGCAGCCGTTCCGGTTGTTGCGCCTATGACAGCCCGTGCAACACAACCCCGCATCATTCAATGCGTTGCCTGTGGTCTCGTTGGATACATTTATGCCTTTCCTCTCATTTGACTTGGAAGACTTGAACGATACCTCAACCATGACTTCCCTCGTTTAAAACAGATTGTAGCAGAGTGCCCTGGGGTTCGAATGCTCATGAGTATGAGTGAATCAAACGTTCTTTTTTTTTTTTTTTTTTTAACGGGTGCCTGAGTGGGTTATTCTTCAGCACAAAATAATTTATTCGGGGTTTATTTGCAAAACTTCATACCTCAACGACCAATTTGTGTTTCCGGAAGCATGTATATGTTACCCAACATTGAAAAGTCCATCACGTTGGTGATCAAAGATTGTTCCATGGAAGATAATGTCTTCTGTTCGTTATAGATCAAGGGCTTGTATTGGTGATCTGCTATCTAAGCTCTACCCATGATATGTGGCCAAGCATTTTAGGGAATGGGAGTGCCACTAATCCTCATATAAATGGTCTCAGAGGTTTCCTATAACCACTAAATGCCTTTATTCCTTCACTGGCTTGTGTCTCCATCACAAGCCCAGTTAGCGACTGCCTCAGCATGAACGGCTGCCGGTTCAATAACGGGCACCTCATCTCCCAAGTTATCCTGTCCCAAGACGAATCCAAGGTCAGTACTACCAAGGATGATAGCTTGCGCGCCTCTACCTATCAGAGCCTTCGCTTCTTTTACAAACATATCCCTCGTACTTTCAGTCACAGCAGCCGCTCCCTTCGCAACCTCCTCCAGCATGCCGCGATTGACTTCATCCAAGGACGCTTCCGAGTCTGGCACTAGGACAGTAAAGCCATTCTCGGGGTTTTCCAGCGGCCCAATAAACCAAGTAGGGTCATCGCGGCTGAGCATGGTAGCTTTGGGCCCGAGAAGACCCAGCCTCTGAATATGAGGATATTTGGATTTGATGTGTGCGGCAAGGAAGTCAGCAATATGCAGGACTGAGCCTCCCCCCGGCGCGGCGGCCTGAGCGATCTGCTCGGATGCCTTGTGCGCCAGGATCGCGCAGATCACAACCCCGTCAATTTCATTCCTCAGGGACGCAACAGGGCCCGTGTACTCGCGAGCGAAACTCTCCCAGTCACCCTTGCCGGCATACCCGATCATTTCCTCCAGATCGGTGCTGTAGACGTACAGTTTCGGGCCCCTCCTAGGCCCGAGCCGGTTCCGAACAGTGCGCGTGATGATGTTATAGTAGAGGGTTGTGACGTCGGCCGTCATACCCCCGAGGAGGAGTAGCTTCTTCATATTTTCGGCAGGAGGGAATTTTGTGCAAGATGGTTTTGTCTCACTCCTTCGAGAGGAGAGGGGGAGATAACCTTGTTGAATCTCGGCGGGTCTACAAGGACTAAACTCTGACTCATCTCGACCGTTAGTCCGCTTAAAGCCGGACAGGTAGTGTTGGATACCTGCCGAATGTCGGAATAATGTTGACTGCTTCTACAAAATAGCGGCTTGGGATAGTCCAGGTGGAAGGCGTTGGGGGAAAAAAGTACCTACCATTTCTGGCCTGCATGGTATAGTCAGCTTTGCGGCGGCCGCCCCTATACGCTCGCAAATACTTTCTAACCTTCAAAATATCACTGAAGCAATTTCTTCCGCAGCTTCCGGGTGTTAGTAATTCCCTTCTACCTATCTCCGGGTAGCACGGCCGAGACGTGCATTGTTGAAGCTATCTCAGTTCATGTCACAGGAACGTGTGCCAAACTACCGGCCCACTATCGTCCGTCTTCAGTTCACGATCGCCCAATTTGCATATTATTTTGTGCAATTTCTCGGAATTGGCATTTCTCAATTGTCTCCTTAGCTATTTCTAGTTTCTTATAGAGTAGAGAGTAGTATGTGAATAAAGATTCGCCTGCACAAAGTAGCCGTTTACTTGCCTTGCAACTAAACACTCAACTTCCTAAGCTCCGTCCGGATCTCAAAGAAACAATGAGGTCTCTATTTATGTTTCTTTATACTTCCATAATTACAAATATTTGAATCCTGAATTTCCGCTGAAGTTGATGAGAAGTGCTCTCTGGAATCTTGTCGATGATGAGATGACAGCTCTCTTGAATGTTTCGGAAAGCTAACAGGTAACATGAACAATACTAGGGTGTGACAACAGTCATAGATGCTAGATAGTCTACCGCCATTCTCGAGGTGCATCAAGCTAGCAATTGAAGGGGCAAGAACCCATGCAAAAAGCGACATGAGCAACATTACAAGTTGAGATGACGAAGACTTAATAATTCGGAGGATTCAACTCCATTGCATCATCATGAAGCGGAATTTCGGAGTCTCAAGGTCGGATCCCAAGCATTAGAACGTGTATTCAATGTACTTCTCAACTGGATAGAGGCAGGCTCCCCGGAATTCAGCTGCATGGGTCGCGTAATAACAAGGTAAGAGAAACACTATTGAAAACTATCCCTTCAAACTCCTTTGCACGATCCTATCTTACAGGTGGGCAAATTTCCAGCTGATCGGTCAGGGCGCCGCCCCCATTTTGTGAGGCAATTACCAAAGGCTTCGCTGCTATTCGCGGGAAATGCGCTGGTACTTTGTTATGGCTCGAAGTTGGTTGATGATATCAAGCACTGTTACCGTTGCCGTGACTTCAATGGAACGTTTGCCCTATTGATACGCGCAAGCTCTTAATATTAACGAGGAAGCGCACAAGGCTCCAATAGGCAGGTTCAATGGATTCAAATTGATGACATTCAACTGCTACTCCGTGCATCGGGGTTCATTCCTCGATGCAGCTAGTGACGGCCTTTCTCCCACGACGTTTATGTTTTACGGTCAAGTGCCGGAATGGAGCAAGGACCCGATTCCAAATCATAATTCCAAATCACGCGTGAAATTCTGCGGAGAAGGTTGATTTGATCGCTCTTAGCGCTTCGCTCTGCATGATCGTATAGGGTGAGCCGACGGAAGTTGTTCTAAAAAAAGAGTGTCACACAGTCTGTCACCGCAAATTACCCGTGGCTCGTGGGGGAACAAGGGTGGCATGTAGCTGGGAACAACCCCCTGAAGGTAGGTGGTTGGATGTCAAGCTAGAAGGATTCTTCTGCAATGCGCCCCAAGAGAGAGCGAGAACGTGTTGCGAGCCTATCATGTGGCCCGGCTCAGGGTGGCATGGCATGAGATAATTGACGAGGAACGAGACGATACGCTTTCCGATTGCTCTGCTGGGGCCAAATGAACCCAAATGATCCTTTGTGGCCCTTATCAACGTGCAGGGGGGAGGAGAAGGGACTGCGCGCTGCCCTGGAGTGGTATTGAGCCCATTGTCTGGTCTATAATAGGGCAAGGATGGGCTTGCTATGGGGTGGAATGTCGTCACCACATGCTCCGGAGGGAGCCAGCGGGCCACGGTGAGCATATCCCTCACCAATTAATTGGTCGAGCGGCAGGAAAAGGCATGTTGGCACGGCGAAGAGTCGAAAGATGCATGATGCGAGGTGGAGGGAGCCACGCACAGCAGGTCAGCTGAAGAAGCAAGCAGGTTCTATCACATTTATTTTTAGACGCATGCGTATGCTGCCAAGAGCTGTGATATGTCGAAAATCCCAATGTTCGACTCCGACCGAGTGAATCAGACAGTTCTGACGAGGGTCGATGCACGCGAGGCGCTGGACTGTGCGAAGCGGTGACATTGAGGGCGGGTGAGGCCGGGATGGGGGAGGGGACATGGAGCCAGGCACCACAAAATAGACGTGTAATAGGGGGAATTGGGCAAGCGAGGCAGGCACAGTGTGTTTGCCTTGCTGACCTCCATGTGTTATGGACCGCAGGGCTCAGGCTTGGACTTGGGCTGGCCAAACAACATTGGACGTGTTGGGACTGCCCCCAAGCCAAGCTCCCAACACCAGCAACGCACCACAAGGGACGGCCGATCACATGGCCAGGGTGCCATTGGCACTCGTCAGCAAATCTGACAAATAAGCAATCTGCCAGCAGACCGAGTTTGGGTATCACGCCCCCGATGCGACGGCCATTGGTGCTGTACCATGTCGAGGGCAGTGGCAAAACCCACCCGGTTCCCCCTCCTTGATCCATTGATAGATTTTCAATTAACCTTCCGTGATAGGGCCCTGTTCTCGGCATGCAGGCCGTCAGTCAATCCTCATTAATCTAATTCCCGCGGTACAACTGCGAGGCCCCAGTTGTGCCCCCTGCCCCGGGCCTGCGATTGGGCCGCCCTGATCTTCCAAGCGCTTGCCCATCACATCCTCCTCGACGACCAATCACGAAGGTCGCAATGGGCATTGACTCCCACCCGGTAGTTGCATGCTTTAGTGCTACTCTAGTGTTACTCGTAATCACGGCCTAGGCACCTTGGGGCTAGAAGGAGCAGGGTTCCTGCATCAATGTCCCAGCCTGCCAACCGGCCGGAGGTGTAGCTCTTTTGCTTGTTGCACCGCCTTGCCTCAGCAATCAGCAGAGTCCGAAATCTGACAGACGAGAACGAAATACCAAGACATGGACCGTGTGGAGGGGACCGGTGGACCAGAAAAACCTTGCTTGCTTGCCTGCCTGCTTGTCTGGGCGGGGGGGCAGGTGGGGAGACGAGACCTTGTCCAGGCACTATGTTATGTTGCGAGGGGGGATGAATGATCCTCGTTCACTGAGATTCTGACATTCTCTATATATATGGCGGCAATCTTCGACTTGTTTGTGAGACAATCTTTTCCTTGGATGGCTGAGAAGCTGGCTCTGAATCATATCTTGCCAGTCACTGCAAGCTCGTTTGGACTTTGCTTCCTGTGAAGGCAATCCACTTCGATCCATACAAAGCAATGCCT